ACCTGCCCCCTATGGTCCAGAGATCAAAAACACTGATCTCGGAAAGAGGTTTTCGACATAGGTTGCAATAGAACAAATTGGAAAAGAAAATATTGATTTGTGTAACATAACAAATTATGTACTCTTAAACAAAGCTTCACTCTGTGTTCCTTTGAATAAGCACTTTATATGGATTTTTATTTACTATAAAAATTCAACAACAAACAAACAGCAACTGTGAACAAGATGTCAATGAAGAGTGAGATGAGCACAACAGTTCATATTGATTTGTCCCACCTCTCTCTCATTGCAATTGTTTCATTGCTTATATTTACATTGGTGTGTTTTGTTTGGTGTCACAGTAGACTAGAGTTTCTTTTATGTCAGCCTACAATGCCCGAGCTCCATTGTTTTTTTTCCCCTTCTGCCCACCATAATGACAATTTCATTTTTGTTTACCCCGATTACAGCCTGAAAAGACATTAAAACTTTGGTCACTTCTTTGTGGCTTTTCTTTTTTTCTGCTGAGGTCCCCCTGCATTCTCACACTCATAACCAGAGTATGCCAGTGGTCACCCAATAAGACTGATCTTGGCAAACTGCAATAACTATTAACTAGCACTGTAAAAGCTGGCAAACGAGACTGCAGGTAATAGTTCAGCTTTGAGTGATGGTAAAAAACAGAGTATAGACAACAATAGATTTGCATGCAGCCGCATTTGCCGGAGTGCTCTGTTTGTGTCACCCATTAAGTAATTAGTGTGCCATCTAATGAAAGATATAGACAGACCTGAGGTGCTGCTAAATTGAAATGTTTCTCTCTGTCTCAGAAAGTGCCGCTGAAGCATTGCAGTGCAGAGGCGCAGGACAGCGTATTCCATCTTTGTTTTCAAAAGAATAGCAATTCAACATAAGAGTTTGGTTAACTCAGTCCATAGATCAGCATTCCATTCAAACCTTTGAGGCGCTGGGGCCGCTGAGTTAGAGTGCAGGTTCAGTCTGTCTTTGCGGCAACTGGCACATCGATGTGACGGTGGAGATAACTTAAGGATAAATTGGTTAGAGAATTCAGAATAGGAGAATGTAACATGTCGCAGGCTGGCAACATTGTACTGTTTATCAGATTTATAGTAATGTGTCCATTAAACTTAAAGTTAAACAGCACATAGGAACAGAAAAGTCAAAGGTTATGATTCATCTTTGGAATGTTGTAACTATGGAATGTCCTGAAATTGCATTGAAGCATCAATGGAGGGAAGGAGCCAAACTTGTTAATTTACTAATGCAAATTAATAACAACCTAATAAGCCAAGTTAAAAAGCAAAAAATAGATTATTGAAGGTCATAGACAATTTATGCCAAAGATTAGAATAACTCAAGGGCTCATAAATCAGAAAATCAGAGGGAAAAATCCAAGTCTTACTTATTGTGATAATTTCCTGTTCGCCCCCATTACATTTCTCATGAATATCTCTAGCTGCTGCTTGAATGCCCTGAGCAGCAGGTGACATCAAACCATAGTCAAATGAACAAATAGCGAAACAGAAGCAAAGGCTGGGGGTTTAAATTTCATTTTCAACTTGAGTATTATAGAATGTTATTCTGAGATTCACAAATGCTTTAACAAAAAAGTGATTTTGTCTGTGGCATGGCTGTTGGTGATTTGTGGTGGTATTTCAGACATTGCCTATCTCCTGGGATTTTCATGCACAGCAGTCTGTAGAATTTGCACAGAATGGTGCGGAAAACAAGCCAACAAATGTCCAGCAATAATGTGATGCAATCTTATCAACATAGACCACAATCTCTAAGGAATGCTTCCAGCACATTGTTAAGTCCATGTCGCAAAGAATTCAAGCTGTTCTGAGTGATATGGGGGGGGGGTCCTACTGAGTAATAGAATGAAGTGGCCAGTGAATGTGTATAAGAGTAAAATTTGGCCCTTTAAAATAAAGGCACCATAAGTGCTTGTACCCCATTTATGCACTGATTTTCTGCAGACATGATGGTTTTCTGAACCATTTCCCTAGATGATCTCCAGGAAGAAGCCAAAAGACAACTTAGATCAAAATAGAATAACCATTCAAATGAGGATGGAATCAGAAGAAGGATTAGGCTTGAAAAATTGTGTTATTAACTGGTCCTGAGCACCAGGCAGGAAGGCAGCAGAAAATGTTTTAGGAATGACTCCAGGACCTGCATTGTTTCAGCGTTCTAGCTGTTCATTACACTAGCAAATTTAGCAAATTGCCAGCCCTGTTGACATGACAAACATAGAGCAGGCAGCAGTATGATGAGAAGTGGAGGACCTTCTATATGGTTGACCTACATACTTAGTTTGGCTTCTGGTTTTAGCTGGTGTGTACAAGTCCCATTTGAAACTGGAGAACCAATTTTCTGTGCAACTATGTCCCTAGAGATGTTATGTACTTTTTCAGCAATAATTTGATTTGACAGTCCAAGTCAAAGTAGCAATCAAGGAAGTGGTGGAGTAGCTGACTTGCATATACAGTACAATCCTCAGCCTGAAGTCACAGGGACCGAGAGACTATTCCCACTGCAGAGTTGGTGTCAGTGCATTGTTTGTGATGTCACTTCCTGGAGAATACTGCTGGTGTCTTGCTGCTTGACTGGCACTCCTGGCATTTCTTTAACTTATATACATTGTGTTTCAACTTTTGCTTTACTTTATCTGTGAACGTGGCCAGTTCCTTTAAAGTGTTTTTCAGTTATTTTTTATTTTACCTCAACAACCAGCTTTTGCCTGCTGTTCGGCTGTCACTTATCTGTAGACCGCACATGTTTCTTCTGTCTACTGCTGTTATCCTGCACTGCTCCCTCCATGATTCTGCATCCTTTTTACCCTTCTACTGCTCGGTGAACCTTCGTTACCCATTCAGATTCATGCCATCATGGCTAATGTTTAAGCTGGGTTGCCATCTCCTCTAGTTGTGAGTTAGTCTTTATTTTCTGAATTCTTTTGGTTTTAGTTGCTGGAAAGGAATAATTCTTTGTGCGCCAATTGCCCAGTTTACAGGGATATGGAACATTTTGATGGACTGGAGCATTTCTTGCACAGGGATCAGCTTTTGTTTAAACAACTGACCAGAACAATACTGCACTATTTAACTGGACTCTTACTACTTGCCCCAAGAGCCACCTATTTACTGCCATTTATTGTGTCATTCCCCATATTGCAGTTTTTGTCTTTCACCTTGCACTCTCTTCCTTAGCGTACTTATTGTTCTGTCGTTTGCCCGGTTGTCCCCCATGACCCTGTCCCCTGCCCTGAAACTGTGCACAAGAATTTCATTGTGTTTCCTGGAACACAAATAAAAAGAAAAACTCCACCGTCTCCAATGGTGTTGCTACATCCATCGTGGCTCCAAAATACACCAATCTATCATCTGCATCTTCCCATTAGACAGAGTGCCATGCACTTCATCAGCAAGTCACCCCTCTGCTAACTTGTCTCTCATCGTTTCTTTTTCCATTTTGATTATTTGCTCTCTCACTAATACGTTGGCTCTCTGCTGTGCATTTTCATTGCTGACAATAACATTGATTTTCTCCTTTGCACCAAAACATGGCGAGAGCCGGGTGATTTGCTTTTATTCAGGCGTGCCCCATAACTTTTCTTGCTTATGTAAACTTTCCTCTTTTTCCGCAAGGTGGGGATACGACTGTATTTATAATAACAAATTACTGTACTATGTTGTGTATTTGAGTGCCTTGCCTACAGCATTCTTTCACTGCTTTGCACCTGTATTGTTCTCTTAAACCAAACTCTCTTTTCCTGACTGAACTATTAGAGCTACTTATGCCTATTTCCTCACATCTACTGCTATGGCAAGATTTCAACATCCACATTGACTTAACTGTACCATGACTATTGATTTTCAGTCCTTGCTTTACTGCTTTCATCTCTGCCGTTTCTCACTCACCTTGAAGGTCACATTCTCAATCTAGTCTGTTTTGCCATTCGGCTTGCAAGCTGCTTTTACTCTCTCAGACCATGTGCTATTCTGTTCTCTACAGTATGCCATTTCCTTTGTCCCATTATATTAACAAAAGATTATCTTTTTCCATAACATTAAATCTGTTGATCCACTTGCCCTATTTCTGTAGCTCTGTCTTCTCTTCCTGTGTTCTCCTCTCCTGAAATGCTTGCCTCTGAGCTCAAAATTCTTCTCCTTCCTCTGCAGTCACCCATGGGGTCCCCCAAGGTCCAGTTATTGGACCACTGCTGATGGTTTTGTTTATCTTTCACCTTGTCCGACTGCATCATTAGACACTACAATTTCCACTTTTATGTTGATGATTCCCAGATCTATCTCAGTACTAATCTACTCATTCACCACATTATCCCACATTAAAACTAATATATGGTCAAGACCTCAATGACCTACAAATTTCTCAAACAAAGCAGCAATACAATTTAACTTAACCTCTAAATCCAACCTTAAGATTTGGATTTCCCTCCACAATGATTAGTATTATCTTCACCTACAGTTAGTAACCTAATATATATTCTTCATTTCGTCTGTGTTTATATTTCTTCAGACTGTCTGCAGGTGCAATGCTTTCCCAGTTGGCAGCTTTGGTCAAGGCCCAATGATGAAATCACCCTACAATCCATGAGATTTGAATCGGTGAATTTCTGATCACGTTGGTGAAATCCTCATCAGCAGCGAGAATTTTCTCTGAAGATGTCAACAGGGAATGCTGTATGTCCCAGCTTGATCAGTATGGTCTTAGTTGTGGAATTTCTGTATGTATAAATGTAATGCTTTTATGCATTTGCAAGTAATGTAATTGCTCATTTTATTACACAGCCATGGCACATCCAGGATGAAACCACCAGAGGCCGCCAGTGAGCGGACAGAAGCAGTAGTCTTCTGGCAACTTCTAGCTCTGGACTCAAGCCCATGAACACACCAGCTGATTGTTACATGCTGATTAGCTAGGTATTTCAGCTGGCTGATTTTCAGCTGTCTGTAGTCAAGTTGTCAAAAGCCATTCTATGGAGTACTAGAAACCTGAGTTTTTTGTGTGGATTAAGTCTCCTTGCCATTTTGATTTCTGATGGAATGGCACTGTTGTGTTGCCTATGGCATTGGGAGTTAGAGTGACGCCTCTGCTCTGTGTGTGGAGTTGGACTGCTCTCCCTATGCCACATGGGTTTTCCCTTGCAGTCCATGGACATGCGTTTTGGCCTCCCTTCAGGGCAATGCCGCCGCCTTCTGCCTTAAACTTCTTAGGATTATTATACAAGCTTATCAGCTCATTTGGAACTTTCTTACCTTTCTGCATGTGTGCTCAGGCCATCTCTGAAATCTGTAAGTAGAACAACCTTGATTTTACTTGACCTGTTCAAAATGAATTACATGTGGCTTTACATACACAGTCCCTTAACCACAAATAACAGGTCAGACTACATGCCACAGAATTTCAAACAGCAATGAACACAGCCTATATTACAATTTCCAAATAAACTAATAGCTAAATATTTTCAGGGCGTGTTGTGGGTTCGTGGGATGTTCATTCTGGGTCTTCAGTGCATGTGTGATATGCTACATTAGCTTCAAGTTCTAGGTCACCTTGTTTAACATGTTCACACAATTTGTCAGTCCATGTCAAAGCCTTTAGCATCACTAGCTGTCAAACGCCAACACAATGAATGCAATACTTTTTCAAGAGGGACAGGAAGACCAAACTCAATTGACAAAACTAGAAAATTGCAGGAAAATTGCTTTAAACATTCATAACCTCTTCTTCCCAAGAGTCTTCCTGGTCTGAATATTATAATTGCAGCAAAGATAAAAGCCGCTATTTTTCTATTCATAAGCCAAACTCCCATGGGGCTATCTGTTTTTGTTTTTTTTTTTACAATATAGAGGAATGGTGCTTTTTTAACTGCATCAATGTATGTAAATATATTACAAATCACTGTGATAAGGTCAAAAGGCACTGCATATGTGATACATTAACAAGCTTCAGAAATATACAAGGGACTCATTAGCTTTGACACATCATTAACTTATAAATGGACGTAGAATATGAATATGTTCTGGGCAATGGAGAACAAACTCATTTGGGGATTGGAAAAGATTTATCAAGATGTAAATAACTTCCTGAAGAGCTTCCTTTAATGCCGTTTATGTACTGCTGGACAGCGACAGTTTAAATGTCTACTCCACTTGGTTTCATGAAAAAAGTCATATTTAAGGATTCACATTTTAAAGTTAATTGAAATGTATTTTGTGAGGTTAGTTATGACCTGTGTGCAAGTAAAGATGAGCTACTGATGCCATCATTATGATTATCAATTTTCCTGAAGTCCAATGTGTGATTATTTGCTAATCACTGCAAGGTTTAATAACCACATGGTTAATAACAATAATTAAACTGATCCCTATCTATATTTATGGATAAACAGCCATTCATCTTCTAATGACTTAAACATTGAACATTTTTTAATAATACACAAAAGCTTCCACGCAGTACATAGTACGCCAGAGCAGTGGTTCTAAACTGGCTTGGCTTGAGTACCCACATTTTTTTTTTTGGACACTATCTAATACCCAGATTAAAAAAACTTCTGAATTTCCAGAATTTTAATCAGTTCCTCATAAATCTTCAGAGAAATGTTAGGTTGAACATTATCCCTGAGAGTCAGTAGCTGTTCCCTACTCCAAGAGATTGCGTTAGATGCACAATGAACAACATTAACAAAGAGCGCAAAGCCTTTTGAATTCAGTGTAATGCTACCTGTCAGTGGTGGCCTGAAGCCACAGGACATTTTGAAACACCAGAAGGAAGCCTAGTCAACATGGGGCAAACACTTCCCCATCCTGCAGACACTATTGCAACCCTCTAAAGAGGGCAAAACAAGAAACAGCAGAGGATCCTGCCTCATTGCATCATAGAATCAATTTCAATCTACACTCCTGCTGAGATCTCTGTGATATATCTCACTTTAAAGTCTACATGAACTGTATTAACGTATTAACAGAGTGGCCACTGGTTATTTGGCTAATTTGTTAATATGTTCATATACTACCAAGTATGTGGACACCCTCTCTTCTGAAAAGGCTTTCCACTATAGATTTTGGAATGACTGGATTTGCTTCCATTCAGCCGTAAGAGCATTACTGAGGTTGAGCACTAATGTTGGGTGATCAGATCTGACTTCATCTGTCATCACTGTTCCAATTCATTCCAAAGGTGTCTGGATTGACTTGAGGTTACAGTAGGACTGAGTGAAGGCCAGACAAGTTTCTTCGGCATCAAAATCAGCAAACCATTTCTTTATGAACCTCACTTTGTTCATGGGACTAGTGTCATGCTGAAAGAGGAAAGGGCCTTCCCCAGTTGAAAAATACATTTTTTCTAAAATGTCATTATATTCTATACCATTAAGACTTCCATTCACTGGAACTAATGCCCAAACCACATGAAACAAACTTTCAAGATTGTACTGTACTTTCAGGCATGTAGCATTTTCCTGGCATCTTCTAAAACTAGATTTATTCAAGTCAAATCAAGTAATTTATTTATATAGCACATTTAAAACAACATGAGTTGACCCAAAGTGCTTTCCAGCTTAGACAGAGTTAATTAACAAATACTGCATACATCGTAAGATATAGAAATAAAATAACATGAGTGACAATGAAATATAACAATAAAATAAGATGAAAATGTGCATACAAGAAATAATAAAATAAACAAATAAATAAAATGAAAATAAAAACTAAACTTGTTTTAGTATTGTTTAATGTAAAACAATAAGCAACAGAAAAAGCTAATAGGGTAATTAAAAGCGTTATTAAAATGTAATTAAAAGTAACTTAATAATGGACTTGCCAAAACACTGGGAGAACCTCAAACTCTAGCAAGGGAAAACAGGTGGGTCTTTAATTTACATTTAAACTCATGAGTAGAAGAGCGAGACTTTAAGTAGAACTGGAGACTATTCCAGAGTCTGGGGGCAGATACAGAGAAAGCCTGGTCACCTTTGGTTTTGAGGCGTGAGTGAGGAACCGAGAGGAGCTGTTATGAGGATGACCTATGTGACCGGGGGGTGAATATGGAACTAATAGGTCTGAAATGTATTGTGGAGCTAATCCAGTGAGGGCTTTAAAACCAAATCTACTCCGTATTTCAAAGGTAGCCAGTGCAAATGAGCTAGAACAGGAGTGATATGTTGTCTTTTCTTCGTTCCAGTTAAAAGTCTAGCAGCTGCATTTTTTTTGTGAAGATACAATAAATTTTACACTTACAACATTTTATGAACATATAAACCAACAAAAGTGAACAGCTGCATTTTGAATCATTTGAAGTCTAGAAAGTGAGGAAGGAGCAACCCCAGATACAAGGAATTACAGTAGTCAAGCCGAGAGGTGATAAAAGCATGAATAACTATTTCCAGTTCCATATGAGATAAAAATCGGCTTTAACTTGGCTATATTCATCAGACTATCAGATGACAAATTGTTACTCATCTCTCCAAAGAATGCATTTCCATTGTCCATTGCGTTCAATGGTGGTGCTCATCATACCACTGCAGTTAATGCTTGGCATTATGCGCAGTGCAGCTGTTCAGCCATGAAAACCCATATATTGAATCTCACAAATAATGGCTCTTGCACTGATGTTGCTTCCTGACATTTTTACTCACTACTCACTTTGAGTAGTGGTGTTTACTTGCTACTCACTTCGCCATTTGTCAATCCCATTTTGTGAGCCTTCGTAGCCTGTTATTTAGCAGCTGAGTTGTTGTTTCTCCAAGACGTTTCCATTTCACAGTGACGGCACTTATTTTTGACAAGGGCAGGTCTTGATGAACAGTCTTGATGGAATGGTGGTATCCTGTGGTGGTGCCATGGTACAAGTCACTGAGATCTTCAGTATGACCCATTCTACTGCCAGCGTTTATCTATGGCCGTAGGCTTGGTTTTATTGAATTCAATCAATCAGTCAATTTTATTTTGCATAGTGCATTTTCAGAACGTTACATTGTCTCAACCGCTTTACATTATCCCTGCCCAAAGCCCCCAATATGCAAGCCAGAGGAGACAGTGGTAAGGAAAAACAGTGGTACAGCAGCAGGGAAGGAAGGAAAGACATCACAGGGACAATGGGCAGGCAGGCCAGAAGGACGTCACAGGTACTGGGGGCATTTCCGGCAGCAGGGTAGGCAGAATGTCTTGATGTTTTTCGTTGGGTCTCCTGGCAGTAAGGGTAGGGGAAATAAAATATCGACTTGTTAGCAATGGGTTTGGCTGAGACAAGTGAACCCAATAATTGGAAGAGAAGTCCACATACGTTTTGCCATGTAATGTATATAACATGATTGTATGATTATTCACAATGATCAGTGTTAGGATTCTGTAATTAAAACTGCAAGTAAACATGCAACCCTTGTGTCACGCCCAGCTCCGTACGATCCTCGTGTGTGCCACGCACCCCCCTCGTTACCTCGTGTTATTTCCTAATTGTTATCACCTGTTTCCTATTTGATTTTGACTTGTCTTGTGTATTTAGTCCACGTCTGTGTTAGTATCCCCAGTCTGGTCATTGTAGTGTAGTGTCATTCTGTGTTGTTGCCTGCCGTTTGTGGAATTAAACCCGGTGTTCCCCTATTCACGGCTTCATTTGCCTGCTTCCGCCCTGCATCGTGACACCTTGGTTACTTAAATTGTTTATTGTATGTTAGAGATTTTGCTGTTCTATTAGGTCAAACTAAACCAGAAGTATTCCTTGGGGTAAGGTTTATATTTTGATGATGTGTCTGTAAAGAATTATCAGATCCTTCTCTCCAACATTCTCTGTATGTAGTAGAGCTTTATATAGACACTAAGGCAAGGGACATTTTTTGATCACAGCAAGTCAGGAACCACAAGACAGTCATGACCACCAGACTCCCCTTTGATCACATGATTGCGCAATACTTTGGCTGCCTCAAGTGTATTTGCATGTAGTCGAACCAGCACCTTGTCAAAGGCCTTTGTTCACTTGAATGACATTAGGTGAAAACTGACAGGTTTCCTGAATAACATAACTTACTGCAGTATAATGTGCTACAAGTTATCACACAAAACTTTCTTACAAAATCCTACAACAAATCCTACATGTGTTTTGCTTACATTATAATTCTGATGTTCATTTTTAATAAGAACATGTTTGCTTCATTTGCATTAGTTTCCTTTGAAGGTCAAGTTCAATATCTTTGGGAATTTTTTTTTTTTTATGACAAACCAGCTGTCATCATCTGTGCTATGCAAATCTGCTGCTGATATCAATAAATGTTTCAATCAGTGTTTTGACCATGTAA